AGATTTTAATATTAAAGAGTTTAATTTTTATTTAATAATTAATATAATGATGAATATATGAGCATCCAATATTATAAAATAAAATTTAAAAACAAGCAAAATCAGCTTGACAATAGAAAATTTCAAGTCTTAATCTTTTTTTATTGTTAAATTCCTCTTAACCGTCTCTCTTAATCTCCTCCCAGAAGCCCTTAAATTGATTTTTAAAAGAGTATTTATAAAGTTTAAGAAACCCTATTAGAAAAGAAAGTAGGATTTTAAACAAAATAAAAAACTTGAATTTTTGGGTGCTGAACGCATGGTGTTGATACTGTGGATTACACTGTGAATTACGTGGCAACACTTTACCCGGGTCGGGTTTCTAGCCTATTTCTGCAATTTTTTCAATGGTAAAATTATAGATCTGGTCCTCTATATTTTGTATGATGATCACTTAGATCCATAAACCTAAGATTCATTCATTTAGGTCCCAAACAAGAACCTTTCTTCTTGCTATTCAGTCCCTAAACTTTTGGAAGATGTTCAATTAATCTAAAAAATCTTATTATTATGCATTCAAGTCATTTTCTACAGAAAAAATGAAAACCATGTAAAATCTCATAAAATTCATCCAAATGTTAATAATAACAAGGCATAAATTCCACATTAATATATATATATATATATATAAATTTAGCTCATCAATGACAATTTGCATATTTTAAACCTGAAACTCATAGCAATTTAGTTAATCTTACTACAAACCATTCAATCTCAACTGACATATACACTCATGTCATAACAAATTAAAATTATTTATCTTGCATAAAATCATATAAAATTACGTAATATGATAGTAAATGATGTGCACCAATTTGAAATGAGAAATAAGGGGAGGAAAAGAAAAGAAAAAAAGTTATACCATCACATTGACCGTCAAACTAGTCTTGACTATTCATTAAGCAAAAGAAAAAAGAGTTTTGAAATTTATAAAAGTAATTTTTTGTAAATTAAAATATAAAAATAATTATGTGGGGATGAAAAAAGTGAATTAAATTGAAAGAGTAAAGGAAAAATAACATGAAATTAAAAAGTGTGGAAGGTGTGTATATATTTGCATAAGAAAGATGTATATATATAGTGGGTGATGGAGCTTTCACCAACATACTTACCATGTTGCTAATTAGTGTTTGGGAAGGGTAGCTACTAGTCAATGAATAACAACAACATGGGTAACATCAGCAACATAACCCATGTTGTTGATTAGTGTTTGGGAAGGATAGCTACAAGTCAATGAATGAGTTATGTTGCTAAGATATAACATCGGCAATATAACATCAGCAACATAACATCAGTAACATAACTCATGTTGCTAATGTTGGAGGTTATTGGAAAATTTCAACAACATGGTGCTTGTTACTAATAAATTTCAACAATAAGGGATATGTTACTGAAAGTGAAACTAACTTTTTGATTGAACTTTGTACCATAGAGCCATCAACAATGTATTCTTTGTTGCTGAAAGTGAATTTCAACAAGAAATAATATGTTGCTGAAAGTAGAACTAACTTTTTAACTAAAATTTATATCATAGAGCCATCAACAATGTACGCCATGTTGTTAAAATTCATTTTTAGCAACATATACCTTGTTGCTAAAAGTGAAGCTTATTTTTTGGGTGATCAGTGTACTATAAGCTATCGGTAACATGGGTTTTGTTGGTGAAAACCTATATCAACAAGAAGCAATTCCATATTGTTGATAGTTAATTGTTAAAAAATGAAATTTTAGTTGTGCCTGCTGGCACGGCCATGGCACATACCTAGGGGCTGCACCGATTGCAACTTTGATGGCAGCGGTAGGGGTCACTGTCAAACCGGTGACTGTGGCGCAGTCCTTGATTGAAAAGGGTGGGGCGTCCCTCCAAACATCCTAGCCGAATATGCCTTGAACCAATTTGGAAACATGGATTTTTACGACATATCCCCAGTGGATGGGTTTAATATCCCCATGGACTTTGCTCCCACCAATGGAGGTTGTCATACGATCAGGTGCCCCGCCGATATAAACGGGCAGTGTCCTAACGAACTTAGAGCGCCGGGTGGGTGCAACAACCCATGTACAGTGTTCAAGACTAATGAATACTGTTGCACTCAAGGGCCTGGATCATGTGGACCGACCACATATTCTAGGTTTTTCAAGGATAGATGTAATGACTCTTACAGTTATCCTCAAGATGATCCTTCAAGCACGTTTACTTGCGGTAGTGTCACCACCAACTACCGGGTTGTGTTCTGTCCACTCGGGTCACCTCATTTCCCTCTAGAGATGATCAAAAGTATCACTGAGGC